GGAACTTCGGAATCGTCAAGTCGTGTAATAACCTTGGACAAGTTAGTGCCTCGGACTACCCGTCTGATAGTACTCTGTACGTTATGGCGTACAATACAGTTCCTCCGATTAGTCTTCGTGGCTTTTCAGAAAGCTAGTATGTCGTTAATGAGTATGTATGGGGAGCGCAAGCAATTGGGCGAAAGAACTCTGGATCAGACTAGCCTTCTGATAAGAGCGGCAGTTTGATGACTAGTAACGAGATGGGTGACCATGTCAGAAGCTTGTCAACTGTAGGGAAGATATCGGCCTATGGAAACTGACACTTGTCAGCACCTGACAGCCGAGGGTATTCTTCCTTCCCTTATTCGATAAAGAGAGTGCCGGTTCACTCTTCGAACTGACCTGAGGATTGCTTAAATCGACACATAGAACACTAAACAGGCTAGTATCGAGTGAGAGCCAGGCTTTACAGATCACTGTTGTGACATGTAAAGCTGAGAGAAGTTATCGTAGCTACCCTCCACAAGCTATGAGGTTATGTGTATCAGAAGCCTACTAAATTGTTAAGCGCTGTCTTGATTGTGCTATGTTCTTGAAATACTTTTTGAGTTGTAAATGAATTACAGAAATATGACCTTTATCCTGGCTTTCTAATATGAGACATATGTTACAGACAAAAGTAGAATTCTAAGTTTTACTAAACTAGTTTAGGATTATTCAATAAAACATGGATTTGTCAATCTTCGTTAGAGGTGTTCAGTTTCGCGGCGATAGGTGTGGTGTACACGATACTTGCTTGTGGATTTTGCTCCAGTCGCTCAATCAGAAGGCTTGCTCCCAATTTTTCGAGGGCAAAGTTTGTCCAGAAGATTAAAATAGCAATCAGCAAAGAGAAAACTCAGTTTTCAAAACCACACTCAAAAAAAAACACCACATCCGCTTTTTGTCTTCGCCATGACGCTGCAGGTGTTTCTCGGATGCAGAGAAATTTTAAATCTGGGTAGACAAATCTTGGTAAACATAGATTTTTGTTGAAATTTTATAATAGGCATTCAGTAAAAAAATTATGCAAAGAAAAAGTTTAATTTAGATACTAATCTGTGTTGGAATCGAGAGCGGTGATACCTGTCTAAACAAAAAGTTTTCGTCCGATGTCTAGTTTTGTTTCAATACTTTAGTAAGTCGAATGCCTTTTCCCTAGCAAATTTTCTGGATCAGCCACTGATACTAATTCTTGAAAAATTAAGCCACATAGAGAAAAGATATGAAAATCGTGATGTCTTCAATAGTGTATCCGAAACTTCCGATCATTATACAAATTCAATCTTTCAACTTTGCCGAGTGGGTAAAAAATTTTCAAAAAAGAAGCGTCAATCAAAATGGAGATAAGATTAGATAAAAATGTAAACAAACGAAATACACTCTGAATTCGATTTAAACTTAATTTACTTGAATCTGTATCTGTCTATCTTCCTTTCTGCATTATATATACAGAGATATAGATATAGATATAGATATATCGATATATTGATAGCTATATGTGACTAATGCACTTGATACACTTAATATCTGTTGTCTGAGACGTGCATATGAGTGTAGTGTAAAAGATACTGTATCCTTAAAAAAAATCCTTAACCGCGTTTTAATAGGACGAGCCCTTCTCTGCTTTTTGGACCTTCGTCACAATTTTTGTCGTGACTATTCGCCGCAGAAAAATACTACCTACTTATACTCATTCTCAATTCTTTCTTTTACGTCAGTATAGAGAATCATTCGAGCATCAAAAAAATCCTAATTGTATCACAGAAACTGCTGATTTATTGCACGATTGTATCTGACGTGATCTTACCGTTATAATGTACCACTACTATATCCGTGCTCGCTCAAATTTTAGTAGATCCTGACTCCGTTTAAAATCATCGAATATACGGATAGTTTTGCTGATTTAAGGATGTAGAGTACAAATCTAAAGTTTTTATTTTCTTGCCGAATACTTTCCGTAGGATGTACTTCTAACGCTTTTTGCTAAAGTTTCTGTCCCTTCCTCTGGTTATAAAACAATCGGGCTCCCTCAGGAAAGAATCATCCTCAAAAGCCTCGATCTCCTTTTAGTTTTGAGTAATTTCGTTTGAAGTATTGATGCAAAATTTTTTAAATTTTAAATGATTCCATAACAACATTCCGTTGATTCCTGAGATAATATAATATGAGTAACTCTAAAATGTACAAGAGGTAATAAAATTGTGTTCTTTATGGATACATTTGTTTTCTCAGTTCTTTGACTGGAGCAGAAAGAAAAGTAAAGATTGTGTTTCTGAAATTGTTTCTTTTCTACGCAAGGCGCAGACTGATATTCTTTATCTTTTACTGCGAAATGTTAAGGACAATGTTCTTTTTATAGTCATGACTGTTGTTCTGACGTTCAGATATAAGTTATTTAAGACTCAGTTTTTGCGACAAACACTTTGCCAGCTGAAAGCGTTTCACTTACGTTATTTCAGCGTTCTAACTTTATATATTTTTCTTTCTACATTTTACTTCTAGATGCCTTTGTAAAAGCGTGTTTGTAATCCGCTTATGTAATCGCTTTAACGATGTAACTTGATAATTGATGGAAAAGGTAAGACGAAATTTGGAAAGTAATTATCAGTGTTGAATTGTTATCGATATTTAGAATTTTTACTTAATCTCCGACACAGATGACGAGAGTTTGCAAAGTGTTGATTACGACGGAAAAGTGTTGACTAGTAATTGTTTGTTTTGTCTTTCTATATCGAACCATTAGTATTTAATCTTATTTTTCCTCTTCCAGATATCTACAATAATAAACCTAATAATGAAGAAACAACTAGTCTAGAAGACGTCAATTTATACGATCATCAAAGACCGTTAACAATAACAAGTAAGAATGCCATTTTTTTCACATGGAAATCATTTTTCACTGTTTCACTTTTATAGGAATGCATTCAATAACATCAAAAACAGTTGCACCATCGATGATAAAGTAAAAGCGCTTTTATCCTTTTCCTTTTGAGTGAAACTATTCGCGAGAATTTTTTTGTTTTTTAAAGTTTAACATATCAAGATTGTTACTTGCTGTTCGATGTTAAACTAGATCAAAAACGCACAATTTGGTTATTGAAACAACGTTTTACAAGCAACTGCAATTCAATGAGTTTTGATTTTAAAGCTAACTTTCCTGATTGTCCAAATATTTTACAAAATGTTTCACGTGGAATGTTAAAAACGTTTCCATTTATGGCAGAAGAAGTTTTTGAAGACAGCAGTATTGATGACGACGACGAACAAATTATTTTTAACCATTCAGATGTCGACAATCCGAATGGTATCAAATTTACTGACGACGATGTGAATGATGAGTATTTACATAATTTAGTTCATGGAACCTCGGTTTGTTCTAATGGTAAATGGAATGAATATTAGTTTCCTAATTAGCAACACTCGATAGTTGTCCCAATTTTTCTTATTATAAAATTAATAAATTATTGATTATTGTCTAATATCACACAAATGAAAAGGAAATTTGAGTTTGATAGTGATTTGTGATTTTCAGTTCCTTTTCGAGATTATTTTAAATTTGATTCAGTAGTGAACGTCTTTTTTCCATCCATAATAGTTCATTTGAAACTCTGATGTTTTATGGTATGGTAGCTACCATGTGCTATAGTTTATGATTATCTTTCTTTTTTATTGATGATACCAATATGAGTGATGAAAATGGCGATGAAGGACAAGTAATCATTAATGATGATAATAATGAATCATTTCATTCGATCTCGGATGATATTTTGGGCAATGATAAAAGTTTGAAAATCTTGACAATGTCTGAAGCTGGGGATGACGACGATGCCCAAATAGTTTATAGTGATATAAAAACAAAACTTACTGAAAAGATTAAGTGTGAGCCAGACATTGAGAATCAATGCAATTATGGTACATCAACAGGTAAGAAAAAAATTTGAATTTTAGAAATTTTTTGATACAGTAAAAATTATTTTTGATTTATTTAGAAGATCTTATGGTTACATTCTCCAAACTTCAATGGAAACAAGAAAAAATTAATTTCTTTTCTCCTTACCAGTTAGATGGCCAGATCGATACGTTTTATGTTGTTAAAAGAAAAGATCAATATGGAAATGATTGCCGTATGTCAGATTTAAATGCCTATAAAAATAATATTGCCAAAAAGCTCAAGACAGAAATGAAACAGTCAAAATTTTCTTCTACACCAGTCAACAAACCAATATCAACAAGTTCCATATTAGAATTACCACGAATACCCAAAAAGAAAATTGAAGAAAAAAGCGTTAAACAACATTCATCAGTAAAAAGACTATTGTCTTCTGATACTTATGCGCCGACAAAATCTAGAGTTCAAACAGGTCGAGTCATTAAAAAAATGAAACAAAAGACAAGTCTATTAAAACGTGTCAGTAGTCAAACAAAAGTTAATCAGAGCATGTTTCCGAAATCGACAGTTCAAAGTTCAACAAACATCGTTACAACATTACAGCAAAGAAATCCGATCATGAATAAGGTATTAGATATTGCTTATTCAATAGCTATCTTTGTCCGGGCAGATACCAATTCGATAAAATTGTTTTACAACCGAAGACTTCCTCGAGAGAAAATTTTAAAAAAGTCAGTCTCAAGGACTACGCGCGTAGTAAGAATCAGTTCAAGTTTTCAAAGCTTGAGCTTCTCTGTAATTAAAAAGCGGTTGTAAAATAAATTTATTCAGTACAAAAAAAGTCGAGTTTAAATATCAAAATCCTCTTTTGATTTTCTAGCACATCTTGCACTTATCCTTTCTTTTTCATTTGTGACTTTAGCAGAGAAAAACTGATACAAAAGTACTACAAAATGTTTCGCCATTCCTTTCAATGCCGCTAAAAAGTTCTATAGGGTCATCAGCGAACACAGACAACATTGTCGCATCATTAAGCAACAAACAAACAATTAAACATTCTTTAAACGAGCGAACTGATATAATAACTCATGAACGACATGCAATGCAAAAAAAAGCCCTAGGTATGTTTATACTCGTCCGTTTTCCTGGCAGAACATCAAAAACAATGATAATATTGCTTATAACTTTTAACTAAAGGGGATGAAAAGTTCAATTTTACCGAGTTCATTCGTTCCCACAGTTAAGTTTCTTTATCATAAAAATAATTTTTCTACTATTTTTATGATCATAGAAATAGTTATAATTACGAAAGAGTTCGTCCCACCTTGTACATAAGAAGTTGTTTCTCACATTCCTCATCAAACTCTAATTAGATTTTATTTTTGAATTTACTGACTTTTGTTCTTGTTTTTTTGATAATTTTAGATGAATCACATTTTGTGAAGCGTCCACTATCAATTTGGGATGTGGTCGAAGATGTGAACAATAAAATTCCACAAGTATCAACGAAAAACGAACAAAACAAAAGAGTAGTGATCAATGGTGTAGTGAAAGATGGAAGAAAGTCAGTTCCTTCCTATAATGCTCAGAAATCGTGCGACTCAATGAAGATGAATAGCAATAAATCGAATAATCAGCCGTTAATCAAACGTCTGTCATCTATCGTGGAAACACCCAAAAAACTTAGTGCAGCTAATGATAGTGGTCGAACTTCGCCATTGAACATTTTCGTCGGTTTGGGAGCAGAACAAAGATCGAGTTTTTCCGACATGAAACGATTACCATTGACAATTAATAAAACAGCAAGGTTAAATGAACGAGTAAAAACAAAGTCAGACATAATTGCACGTAGTGCTAAATTGCCACATTCGACAATTCAGTCAAAAAAAGAGAAAATGCATACATATAAAGTAAGATGGCACTGTTGCTAAATAGAAAATTGAAAGACGTCGTACGTTTCACCTTTTTAGCCAAACAGTACGACAAATGCGTCTTCATTAGTCCATAAATCCACAACACTAAACAGAATGAAGACATCACTTGCAAGAACAAAAGATCAAAGGAAAAGTTCTTCAATAGCAAACAACTTGTCGAGTGTTCTATTGGCCATAGCAAACGAAAGAGAATATAAAATCCCATTTCAAAAGAACCCACTAGTCACAAAGCCACAATTATTCAAATCGTTATCAACAAATTCTTCATTAAATTCTATTCAAGATCGTCGTCAAGTGAAAAAAAAATCGTATGATCATAATCTATTTTCGAAAGATAGAAAACAAAAAGAAAAAGAAGTCGACAAAAATTCTAGCGCAAAATTTGTTGAATCAATACAACGAATAAAGTAGGTTGTTTCTTTATTTTCTGCTCTACTCTTTTAATAGTATTTCTTTTTTTAGTACTAAGCCAAAGTCAAAAATTTGTGAAATCAACGAAATAAGGACAAAGTTGCCATCGAAACGAATTCCAAAATTACCAGGTGCAGGTGTGATTCATATTTTTTCTAGAAGTACTTTTCGTTTCTGGTTTGTCTGTTGCATTTATCATGAAAAGTCAACAAACAAAACACAAAAAATATACCAAAAAAAAATGACTACTAATACCATCGTTTCAGATTTAGTTTTGTAATTTACTGAAAAGCTAAGTTCATATGTTTGAATCTCTATTCGTACAAAATTGCTTTTATGTTTTTCGATAGTTTTAGTTTAGAATACTATAATAGAATATTTTTCCGCTTATATTTTGACAAAATAAAGCTTATATCAAACTCAACAATTAACATATTTTGTTTATTTGTAGCCAAATTACCCGCTTCTATTGCGGAAAAGAGAACAATAACTTTACTCGGTAATAAAATCGATTCAAATGCACTGCCAACGTCATCTAGTTTATCAAATATTATTATAATTCGTCGACAAGTACGAAAAAAATCGTCAATCGAGAATAAAAATCATAATTGTACCACAGTAATAACAGCAATGACAAATTCACCCAAAACGTCAACAACAACAACTGGTCATATAACCATTACACCATTGATTCAAACACAATGTAAACGTTCCAATAATTATTTTGATGGTTGTATAACAATTGATGATGACGAAGATATTGAAGAAGTATATCTCAAATGTTATAATAAAGCTTGTACATTATTATACAATATTCGAGCACGTGAAACATTTTTAGATAACTCGTGTGATTGTTCAGTGATGCGTCTAAGATGGCTAAATACTCTAGAAAGTTTACTTATTGAACATATTCAAATATCCTTTGACCTTTCTATCTATCCACAACGACAAGAATATCAACAACGCAATCCAAAAAATTTTTTCAAAATTAAAACGGAAATTCCTGATGATGATGACTATGCATCATCATTAATACCAACAACACTTATATCTAATTCTATTGTAAAATGTGAACCAATTGAGAATTTGTTACCTCTTGTACCATTGACTAATAAACCTAATAAAACAACAAAATCATATATGATTGAATCAAAATTGGTGACAGTCGTAATGCGTACATTCATCAAAATGTATTTATTAAAAAGTTTTGATGATAGTCAACATTATATTACATTTACACCATTTGCTATTACATCTTATTTACGTTATTTATTAACTGAAATATCTTCGAGTCATCATCATATTATTAATAATAATGATGTTGACGAATGTGAACGATGTAAGGATTTTAAAATACTTTTATCATCACTATTTGATTTATTAATCGATTTACTTGAATTTGATGTATGTGGCTTTCAAAAAAAGAAATTTCGTTCAGAATTAATTGAAACAGATTATTTTAATGAATTTCGACGACAATCTCAATCATCATTAAAGCAACAACAGGCAAAAATGGATAAAATCAAATATATATTCTATCTAATTGAATTAATTGGAGTGTATTTATTTCGTTTACCATTGTCCTATACACTAAATAAAGCTGACGCATATTTTGAGTCAATACAATCGTGTATGAAATATATTTTACAATCATGGAACAGGTAAACATTTAATTTTTATCTATTCTCATTAGCTACCATATTATGGATAATACTTGATTATGCTAAAGACATAAGATCAAAAACATAATGATACAGCGTGAGAATATTGAGTAATAACTTCAGACCGTCTATGATTGCTTTTCTTATTCTATTTCTGCTCAAATTTAATTTTTTTATCCAATTTTATCAATTACTGTTTAAATGAAATTACTCTGTTATTGATAGAATTCGTCAAAACAGTACTTTTTTTCGTAGTTCATCTCTTTCTAACCACCATTGTACATTCACTATGACACTGAAACTAAAAAGAAAATCATAATTTTCTCGTTTTAGTGGAACAAATGACAGTCTACAAATTTGTTACAGTTCCATGGAATTGATCTTACTATTTACAGAAGATAAACAATGTCATATTAAACAGGTAAATTCAATGAAGATCAATTAAAATTAGATATTCTATTTCTCTTATTATTTCGTCTAGATTGCAAATTTTCTAGCTGAATTATACATTACATCAAACAATGAATTAGTAAAAAGTTATTTAATTTCCACGATGAAAGTGATTGGTGATATTCGATTATTAATGATTAATCAGTTAATATTTATTCAACATGGTTATCATTTAAAAAGTTATTCTCGTATCTGCGATTTAATTTGCAAAATCTTAATCAGTTTGCAATGTTCTCCAGTTACTGACACCATCAATGATTTACATATTATTTATGCCCTATTATCGACGTACAGCGATTTTATATTAGGTGAGAACAAGTATGATAGAAAGTAGAAGTAAAATAATGGTCTATCGATCTAATTGTGAACATAGTTTTAAGCTAATATGTCGATTTGTTATTCATTCTAGACATACAAAATTTTGAATCAGATACCGAACTTGATTTCTATGAATCAGTTAACATTCATCAACCGTATCAGATCAACAATTTTTCTTACGTATTAAAAGAATTGTTACGTGTATATGATGCATTAAAAAAAGTTCCATTTAATTCTATGAAAGTGAGAGAATTTCTAATTCAATTCAAATTATTATCGTATAAATATGAAAATATTATGTCAAATATGCCTTTATAGATATTTATGTTTATTTCTACAATTTTGATTATAAAATCAGAATGAATTTGTCTTATCTGTGAATAGTGTTCATATTTATTTTTTTATTTTCATTTATTTATTCGTTTACTTGCGATATCAGTCAGATACCATATAGTCTTCTGAATTTTTATGGCAATATTTTTTCGCAGAATTGATCAACCGGTTCTTCTTTCTTTTCTTTCTAATTATTGTTCTTCTCTGCATTTCACGGCAAATGATATAAGTCCATACATCTTAATATCAAACTTTCTCATCTTTTTTTCCCATTGTAGTAGAATAATTATTTTTAGAAACTAGAATGTTCAAAAAGATCAAGAAGCGATATTTCTTGCTTGTGAATTTGTGTGTGAAGGCTTTTCTTTTTTTCTGTGAAATAAATTGCTTTCAGTTACCACAAACTAGCATACAGTATTGAAAAAAGAACGAAATAATGATGTACTTTCTTGACATTGTGGAGCCTAAAGAGTTTACATATATACTTATCAGCGTTATGGATGACAATAGCAGGCATTTTATGCTGATAATAAGCTAGTCAAATCGCTGTCACCAATAACCTGATTATGAGAACGGTACGGCTGAACATACGGTATAAACACCACAGTATACTTGTAATGTTTCGAATGTCGCTTTAACTTGATTTCTTCCTTCTCATAAGCGAAGTACTGAGGCAGTGTCACACGGTTACGGCATGCCAGTGTAGTACTCATCAGTGCTGTATTTTAATTAATGCAAAATTACGAAAATGCAACTATAATAAAGAACTGACTAAATACGTTTCAATGCGGCACTGATTTTTCGGAAGCGGGACTGTTTGGGAAGAATTCGAATCTGCCCATGTTTTCACCCTTTGTAAACTTATTTTCTCGTAGGTTTTTGAATACGTAGCAAGAAGAGAAATAGATTGTGTGTGTTTCTAGATGCTACTCCCGACTTCAGCTTGTTCAAACTGACCATTTTAGCTAATTTCCGTACATCAGGAACGAGACTATTTTTGAACTATTAAAACACATAGTTAGACACTATAAAAATCGGTGATAATAATTTTAACATGAAATTTGATATTTCATCACAACCTAAAGGTTTTTTGGGTTCTAATTTTCGAATAAATATGTTTACTTCAAGAGAAAAAGTAGGTAGAGCTGAATCAGTACAATTTTTAAATGAACTGAAATTTCTCTATATTCCTCTGCCATTTTAAAATCCTCTACATTACTTTTATCGATTTTACTTTCCTGACATTGCGTATTGATACCTTACACCTGATATTTTAGCTACAAAGAGTCTTAGGACGATAAATACGAGCGAGATAGGATCAGAATGGCAACTACTTTTTTGCATGGCTATCTTGGATTCGCATCAGAACCATAGTCCATCTTTTCGATCTATATTAGTAGATCTCGTATTTCACTTCTCTAGACAGCTGTCGAACAATGATTTTGTCTCTTTCATACCTATTCCCACAATAGCGATTTCGGAATTTCATAACGATTTTTCAATTTTTCTAGCAAATCTGAAAGCAATTCTGAACTTTTCCCTTGCTAAATAAGCTGTCGTTCTACTTTTTAATGCTGATAGAAAACAAATAAAGTTTTTATATCATTCAGTATGTCGTGATTTTTTCAGCTCTTCTCTCCAAAAATCTTGAAGTAAACAAAGAATAATCCCATATTCTTCCCACTTAACACGAGGAAACTTTGTCGAAATTTCAAAACTGATATTCGTAGATATATAGACTAGCGGTCAGTGATCAGTTGTTCCAGCTCTCAAAGTTCCTCTTGGTACCCCGGAAAAAATTCAAAAATGTAAGATCTTTGTGACGATCCGATTGACAAAAGGAATTAAAAGTACCCGGAATAAAGTAGAAATGATTACTTTGAATCCATTTTTGTAAGATATGCTCCCTAGAGTTAGTTATTTTATTCATTCCCCAACCCTCTATTGTCGCATTAAAAGCTCCGATTATAACTGTATTTTCAATTATATACGATCGAAGGTCGTTTAGATGGGGTTCTGGCTTTGGGCTAATAAACACCGATTACTCGAAATATCTATACCTGGATAGCATACCAAATGGGCAAGCATACCAAGATGGGACGAAAAAACCGTCCACTAAAACGCGTCAGCTTTTCGACGCTTTTTTTTTACCGTGCACAAGTAAATAGATCTGGATGAATTAATCTGATCGAAATCAGGTTCTTGCATAATACTATGGTTTAATCCACGAAAGAAACTATTGGGCTCTGTAATAGTATATCTCTTTTCATATGGAAGACAGTTTTGCAACTCATTCTCGCGGTAATAATGGGAAAATGTGAGAAATTTGAAAAACCTAAGGACCTACAAAACGTATATAACGTGAAAAAGAGGGAAGCTGGGATAGGAAGCCTACGTCTTCCATTGCCAATATCTTTGACAATAGAAGAAATAGTAATGAATAAAGTTTTATTAAAATCTGACGAACCTGACGAAGTGTTACATTAGTGAAAAGTTTGTAGTAAATTTAGAAACGTATATAAATCATTAATGAGAGGATAACAGTCAACTAAACAAGAAACAAAAAACCATGTTGAAGTTATTTATGCTTCGCAAAATCATTATGAACATCATTTTGTGTCCAAAGTTACAATATACTTAATGAAGAGAATATGTTATCAGAAGATGAATTTCAAGAACTACAGCAATCATGGGAAATAGAGGTACGTGAAAATTATACAGACTTCCTATGCCAACATCTTATATTAAATGCATTTCTCATTGCTTTTCTAATGGGCAAGTGCCCCTGCAAACCCTCCTGGCACTTATTCGGCACCGGTGCCAGAAAGATTTTCAGGTTTTGCACTGATGCGCACCCGTGCGCAAAATGAAATTCTACAAAATCTGTAGCCAAATAAAAGCGCCATTGAAGCCTGTCTGAATGCTACAAGAACAAGCTTGAAATACTTACCATTTAGCTCGAATCCGATAGCTATTTTCGAATTTTTGGGGTCACTTTTCCAGAAATCCTCATAAAAATCTGCACTTCCAGATAATCTCACAATGAATGTGGTTGAAGAACGCATGATCAACTTACCATCCTGTGCTTGCTTCAAACATTCATTGTTGTCACAACTTGTGAGCAAGCCATCTGATAGGTCATGCTGTATCTCTCTTTAGGATATGAAATCGGCGTTTGTATTCATTCTACTGTTAGCTGTAATCAGAGGACTCAATAGACGCGATGTTTTTGCCAACATCATTTAAGGGTTTCGACCATGACATCACTTCTTTTTCTTTTTCTTTTCTGCCATCATTACTCAACAGAAATGAAACTCGTTGTTCGCGTTGTGACATAACAAATAAGGAGATAACAGCTCTGCACAGCATGCAGAGGGACATGCCTCACTTCTGACATGTAGGAAACAACGACAAGAGTGTTCCTTTCACAGAAACGTTGTTAGTAATCCGTGTTCATATGAGTGTTTCGCGCACATAAAGTTGGACGAAACTTGAGAAGCCGAGAGGTGTATTGTACCACTGGACAGAGGAAATTCTTCCCTTTCCAACGGTGTGCGGAAGCAATAATATTATCATTCGATAGTGAACTAGGATCATGAAAAATCATGAAGCTTGAATAACTCCGATTTTACGATTCCCTCCCCCCTCCCCGCCCATGCTCCGAACCTCTTCGCGCCGCCACTGCCTCGCACAACACATGTCAGACAAACTGAAAACCAAGGTATACATTTGTAGTCCCAATGATTCGATAATAAATTCAACACGTTCAGATGGAAACGATCTAGAACATGTAATACTGGACGGAGCTGAAGGAAACTATCCTATTGTAAAATTAGACAGTTAGTTTTTAAAACAAGTTCCCATGTCGACTATCGCGATGAAGTCGCGATAAAAAGTCGCGGAGCGAACGTGTAACGCGATCGCTTATAGGCTCGTGAAACTTCTCGCTAATTTCGCGATCGCTATAAAGTCGCGATGAAACGTGAGTTTTTCTATACATTCGCTACGCGACTCGCGTTTTTTATCAGTTAATCAATCGCGATTTTCCTTTCTCGCGGTGCGAGTCCTGCTGCCGCGGCGCGACTCTCGCTTTCTCTAATTAAAAAAGCGCGACTCTCCCTCGACTCGCGAGAAAGTCGCGATTTGTATAAATTCGCTCGCAATAGCTGTTTTCTGCTTTTATCTTTGTTCTTAACTGCTGTTCGGACTTTTCTTCGAGAACATAGTGCAATCAAATTTTTAATGCGAGCAGACAATGCTTTGATCTTGTTATAATCTTTATCTGAAAAGGAGAAATCAGTATAAATAGAGAGTCAAGTAGTAAATTCAGAGGGTATACACAGTAAATTCAACTCTCTGTTCCCTTATCTAGATAGGTCCCATTTTCGCTAGTCACAATGCTACACTATCGGATTTCTGGACAAGTTTTCTTTTGAGACAGATCTCTTTCGCAGATTAACAGTCCGTATATGTCACAAAAAAAAGTGAAAAATAACTTTTGATATAAAAGAGTCACTTAAAAACAAAGTGTGTCCTAAGGTAGGTGAAACACTGATTTCACCGTGTTTTACCCGGTTTCTCTTCGGGAACATAATGCAATCAGGGTGAGTCATTCATCTCAGACTCACTTTGAAGTTGAGATCAAACTAGTACACAGTAGTTTTATTAACACTCTCTCTCTTTGTTTAAATCCTTTCTACTTCTCATAAGAACCATATTAGTAGTTTTTTCTCATGTATTTCTCAATTATGGTTTGCCATATAACTGGCATTTC